TGTCGATATGGGTTTTTCACCCGGCCCACGAGGGCGCGGTTTTCCTGTATAGTAAGTTGTTGAAGGTCCGGCAAGCCCAAGGGCACAGCGGTGTAGGAATAATAATATATCGGAGGAAAATGTCGCCAAACAGATCATCCTGCACTGCTGGGCGTTCCAATGTCAGTACGGACAGGAGGTTGCTGATACATTGGCTGGTCTTCATCAGTGGGGTTCGGTTGATACACCCAGATAAAATCAGAACTGAGCTTTTCTCCTGACTGTGGAACCGCTTTCGCCTCAAACCGAAGTTCGGTTTCATGGGCTTGTTCATCGCTTGCTTGGTAAGTACCAATGACTCCTGTTGCGTTGACCGAGGGATTGCACCTGAGAGGAAGTTGCATCTGGAACTAACATGATAGGGGGCAGATCCTACCACTTTGTGAGGTCCATAGGCTGCGCCGCGCAACCTACGGAAGAAAATGTGCGTTATTAGTATCGACTACAGACAGCCCTCATGTTCCCAGCCCCGAGCCTCTCTTCAAACGGCCCGCTGCTGCTAGAGCAGCGATGCGAGACGATCTTCGCACGGGTGGCGAGATAGATGGAGAGTCCGTGGGACGGGCCCTTCCCGCGCCGGTTGTGTAGTCGCTACATGAGCCGATCTCTGTACTGTGGGACGAGTGGTTTGGCAGGCGGGCGTTTTCGCTGTCGGGCGAGTGTTGGCCAAGCGAGCAGATCGCCTCGGTTTACCTTGCCTAGCTGGCCGTTGACGAGGCTTCGTCGCGGTCGTTACGTTTGTTCGTCTCGTTGTTGGCCCTTGTAGTGGTAGCCGTGGTGATGATGCTGCTGCTCCCTCCTGCTCCTCAGCAGCAGAAATTCGTCGTTGCCGCCTCTTCTACGTTTTGACGGCTGTCTTGGGCCGAAGCGATTATCCGCGGGGCTGGAAATCGCTTCGGCTTGTGTCAGCCCACCTGGGTTAAGGTTCGTGGTAGCGTGTCGAAATATATGAGGAGCTTAAACGAGCGGGTATTGGTACAGTACAGTAGAAGCGGCGACGTTGGGACACACCCCAGGACACATCCTGCACTGGCTCATCGATCGTTTCCGACCTGGCAGACAAGGATGCCGCCGGCGGCATAAGCACCGACGTTTCTGCAAGTTCCCTTCCCACTGTCTTGGCTCGCTAATTTCAACCACATACACAGTATATCCAGCAGCACCCCTGCAACGGCATAAGCCGAGTATGCAAGTCGTCACTATTCAGGGACCCAGAGCCTTGTCAAGGTTGCAGAATGTGGGGCACATGGGACACACCGACGAACAGGCTGTATCGGAGCTGAAAGTGAAGGGCGCGTCGCGCGCGCGAAATGGTGTGTGGCACGCTCGGTACCAGGTAATTTTATTGAACCATCCCAGCGCTTATCACGAGCGGCGAGCCTCAGGGACTTGCACCCAGGCTTATGATCAAGGTACTTGAACAGACGGGGCTCTTACCAGCCCCTTTTCTTCCCTCCCACCCCACCCCTGATAGTCGAGTCGTCACCCTCACACTGCGATACCACGGTAACTCGATCAACTGCCCGTATCCCCAGTGACTTTCAGCCGCCGCCCGCAACAAAACGACAAAAGCCCACCATGGCGGCTGTTCTGCCACTGCGTGTAATCCACCGCAAGGTTACATGGGAGTCCGAAGGCAGCGACCAAGCTCGCAGAGTAACCGAGTTCTCGGTCGAGGATCCCCGCGCCCTCGGCGTTCAGCGGTTCGACATTGTCTCCTACCGCTGGGGCAAGCAGGCAAAGCCATGGAACTGCGCGCAGCCGAGCAGGGACTGGGACGGTCTTCCGGGCGTGAACTGGACAGTCAAGATCCGGAAGCCCAGGTTGAAAGACATCCTGCGGCTGATGGAGGAGGCCGACATTGATTTCCTCTGGGCCGACTGCGTTTGCCTCGACCAGGAGAACCAAGCCGAGAAGCGGGCCGAGATTGCGCGCATGTACGAGTACTACAAGAGCGCCAACCAGTGCCACATCATCGTCGACATGGAGGATATCACCGCGCGCGAAGGTGAGGACGACGAGGAAGTGGATGAGGAAGCGCTGGAGGCTGTGGACAGCGGCGTCAACCTAGAAATGGGATCGTCGTCGACTGTCCACAACCCCGTCTGGGAGCCCCAGACCATCGTCGACGACCTCAAGTTCCTCGACCACATCCTCCACCACATGGTCGGCGCCGCGCGCGCAACCGACGCCCTGTTGAGTCCCAACGTGATCAGACAGCTCTCGGACTGGGCAGAGGCGCCGTGGCTCTTTCGCGTGAGCCAGGCGGCTGTCAGGGCGGCTGCCGTCGAGCCGGGCATCCTGAACTGCTACGCGACATGCATCAGCCATGTGCGGTCGCTGTTCCGCAACCTTTACTTCTCTCGTGTCTGGACGTTCCAGGAGATGCTCCTTGGCAAAAACATCACCATGTGGTACGTCGCATCCGTGCTGTCTCTTTCCGCTTTGGGGTTGTTCGACGCTCCCGAGACATTGCGACAGCTCCCGAAGGAGCCACAATGTAGCCCGATAAGGAGGTAATCGACTGACACTGTCGGACAGGGGCGTCAACCCAGACGACATGAAGTGCATCGGGCAGTTCGGCACCTGGATGGACCTCGCTATCGATGCCAGCGACAAGGCCTTCAAGCTGCGCAACTGGATTGACGACTGCAGGAGGTTCAATACTAGGGGCATCAACGCGATTTTGCAGGTCATCGAGGAAGACCTGCTGAACCTCACCTTCCTGCGGACGCAGGTGCAGGGCATCAACTCTGCGAGAACCGACATCATCGCTGGTGGAGCGCGCTGGTGGCGGGACAACTACAAAGGCATCTGCAACATCTTCTCAGCCATCTCCATCTGGCCACGTCAGTGCAAAGAGCCCGCCGACATATTCATGGGGCTGCTGGGCGTGTTCTGCGGCTTGTTCAGCGAAGAAGAGAGCAAGCAACTCGAACTCCCCGAGGACAGCGACGGCGACATTGACCCCCTCGCCTTTGCCTTCTTCAAGCAGCTCTCGCTGAAAACCGGCCGCGCCTGGACCCGACTGGCCATCAGCAGCGGCGAGCGAGGCGAATGGGACTGGATACCCGTCGCGGCCACCCCAAAACACATCCGCACCACCGACATCTTCGCCGGCGTAGTCGAGCTGGGCGCCCTGCGGCCCAAAGGCCGCGTCAAGACTGTGGCCGTAACCGGCCTCCTCGGCACCCCTCGCCCATACATCAGGCTCCAAACCCATCAACAACCCAAAGACTGGGGCTTCAACCTCATCTTCCGCGGCTGCAACGCCGGCAAGCGCGTCAAGATCTCCACCTTCAAATCCGAACCGATCCCGCTAAACGACCGAACCGTCTCCATAACAGGCGACGTAACCGGCCGGACCCTCGTCCAAGCCACCACCATCCTAGGCGCCCTCCTCGACCCAGCCGCGCAAGACGTAGTCTCCTACCGCCGCCGCGTGCTCGACAAGCTCGCCCCGCGCTGGCGCGTCACCGACCCCAACGCCAAACCGGCGGGCTGGATCGACCGCTGCGTGAGCGGCACGCCTTGGGAGAACCCTCCCCTCGAGCACATCCGCGCGCACAACCACTCCATGGCGATCCGCCTGCAGGACTTTACGGGGTGCGAGTCGCGGCTGTACAACGACGCGACCAAGGCCATCGCGTGCGAGATGCGGCTCGCGTGCGGGTGCACGCTCCTCGCGCCGTTTTACTTTGTCATCGAGGCGCTGATCGGGGTGGAGGGATCTTTCCTCGGGGAGATGACTGTCGGGCTGGATAGGGACAGTCGGATCTTCTTGCAGGACGGGGTGGGGTTGATCCAGCCGGGTGATGTGGGCAAGTCGTTCTCTGTCGTGGCGTTTCAGGGCAATGTGAACGCTTATCGGGCGTACGCGACGAGCTGTAGGAAGGTCAAGAAGAATAAGCCTGTGCCGTGGAACAATGTCAAGATGCCCTGGCCGAGGGGCAGGGCGATTGTCAAGGAGGAGTTCAGGCATGGGCTGGGGGATGTGATGAGGGATTATGGGTATATCCGGATGGGGGGGTATGTGAGGGAGGATGGGTATCAGCAGGTGGGCGGCTCGGGAAACTTGTTGATCTGTCGGGGGCATCCGGCGGATGATTATCGCATTATCGGAGTTTGTGTGGATGAGTATATCGAGAATAAGAAGGGGGAGAGGAGTGTAGTAGTTCGCTAGGGGACTTCCATTGTATAAGTCGAGACTGATGGGAAACGACCTTGGGTATGCAATCGTATTGATGTGGTTGCGCGAAGGATCGCAACTGTGGGGCAGGCACGGCTGTCGGAAATACAGCCCTGGCTGCAAGCACCAACCACGTGAGTCAGTGCAACCCAACCCGAGCTACTGTATATACATGAATCGGAGCGGTCGAGTCAGACCTTTGTCCTTGCGGCCGAGCAAGGGAAACCGTGGAACATTTTCTATTGCGATGCGTGAGATGGGAAGCTCTGAGGGAGGACATGTTGCAATGCACAGTGGCAAGACGAGGGAGCCTCTCATTCTACCTGGGAGGGAAAGCACCATCGGATTCAAAGATGTGGTCGCCAGACATGAAAGCAGTCCGGGCAACGATCAAGTACGCAATGGCGACAGGGAGATTGGATCTTGACGAGG